TATAAATACATATATAGTATGTGTATATTTTCCAGTTTTTGAGACATGTAGTTCAAAGTTGAAGCCTCTGTTAATCATAATAATAACATTAATGATTATATATATATACACATATATAAAAGGTGCTTTGTATATATATGTACACACTTTTACTTATACTGTTTTTTCAGTATTTGTAGTACTTATAGTTCAAAGTTTGAGCATCTGTTTATCATAATAATAACATTACTCAAACGACTAAACACTGAAATAAACAGTTCTGGTCAAACACTCTGGGCTGCCGCTCTGTTTGAGTGCTCGTGTTTGGAGGCAGCAGCTGTGTCTGCGCTGCTGGCAGGTAGGCTGTTAGCTCAGCGTGCTCGGGCAGCTCTGCGGTCACATTAGCGCGCTCTGTGGTCAGTAAAGCTGAGCAGGACTCTCATTAGCCCCGAGCCTGATGGAGGCGATGAGCGGCCGCGCAGACTTCACTGCAGCGCGCGCTGTGGGAACACAATTAAGGCGCCGTTAGATTCGCGCCAAAAAGAGGGAGAGGAAAAAAAAACAAAAAACAAAACAAAACAAAAAAAAACGTTCCACCGCGTTCAATTCTCGCGCCATGGAACACCAGACACGAGCGCTAAGAAAACAGTTTACTAGTTTATTATTGTTCTGCTCTCATGTAAAAAAGAGTGAGTGGGGATTTTTCCCACACATTCAGGAGCTTTTTCACCGGCCTCCTGACAGAAACTGAGCTCAATACAACCAAATCCACACACGGTGTACAGTTTAACATAGTCGCACAGTGTTTAGGCGGCGAGGCTGGGAGGGAGTTTAGGCCGTGTGTGGAGCTGTGAAGGGCCTGATAGACTCTACTCTGAGTCTGAGTCTGAGTCTGACACCACACTGATCAAGGCTTAAAACTATTAGTAACACAGTCACAGAGCAGTGTTTGAATTACTGGAGTGTTTTAATGTTGACTGGTGCTCCTTATGATCCAGAACGCTTACAGTAATAATTAAATGAATTAAGTAAAAATAATAATTCACCCTCTTTACTTCTCACAGTAAATGTAGTATGACAATAATATCATCATGCTGTATTCAGCTTTAGACTTTTAAAAAACAACAACAGAAAATCCAGATTTTGTTCTGAATAAAAATATAAAAATGAATGTAACTAAAACAATTAAGCATTATATTTATATGTATGTTCATGCAAAGCATAAATTCACAATCTGTCATTTTAGACCAATCAGAATGAGTTCTGTGTTTATATTTATCACAGTAAACGCAGCTGTTGGAGATGAACGGGTTAATGTAGTTTTGTCTGCAGCAAAAACAAAACCAGAAAATTTCTCCACGTTGAACTGAGGCATCTGATGCTAATGTAAGCACTTTTTATAGCACGAGCACAACTGACCAATAAAAGATCTAATTAGTGAAGATTTTTAGTTAATAATAATGTTTATTCATGACATCAAACAGGTTTTAATGCAACTTGCATGTTTGCAAATCTAAAAGACGATAACATAAAATTCTGAGATTTTGAAAAACCTCCAAGAACAAGTGTTTAACATAGCATGTCATTATTATAATAATAATAATTATTATTATTATTATTATTAGTAGTAGTAGTAGTATTGTTATTCTTGTTAGATAGATAGATAGATAGATAGATAGATAGATAGATAGATAGATAGATAATTTATTGGAAATTTAGCAATAATTCTTCTTCTTCATCATCTTCTTCTTAATTATTATTAATATTATTATTATTATTATTATTATTATTGTTGTTGTTGTTATTGCTGTTATTATTATTATTGTTATTACTATTATTATTACTATTATTATTATTATAGTTGTTGTTGCTCTTCTGTACTTATTAATAACTAACAATCATCAATAATCATTAATACATTATTCACCAAATTTACCATAATTTCCTGAGAATTACATAAAGAAAAGCACCAGTCTTATTATTATTAGAACAAACAAATAAAATCAAATAAAAACAAATGCAAACAAAAACAAATTTATTCTTATTTTGTTTCAGAAATGATTGAAGCCTTACATGAACTGAAACTCTGTAAATATGACACTGTAAATATAATCATTCTTTTATTAAATCTCTAAAAACCCTTCCCTACTCCTGTGAATTTTCCTGCAATTAAATCTAAACGAATTGATAAAAATAATATTAATACTATAGTAATAATATGAATTATCATCGTTAACTTTCACAGTAATTCCTCAACTGTTTGTCATACGCCTTCCTTAAGAACTGGTGTGTTTCCTCATGAGCAGGTCAGACTCAGGGGCCACGGCAGGCCTCATCACCAGAAAGGCCTCTGTTCATTTCACAAGAGCTTTGGATACAGGAAGTAAGGACAGTACAGGCGTCATCCGTCAAAATAAACACCGAACCCAGCTGCTCCGTTAAGGCTTTGAGTTTATTCATTTTTAGATGTAACGTTGATTAAGAGAGAACTGCTGAGCCATTCATCACTTCAGATGACATTTTATTATTGTTTCTTCTTCTTAGTATTATTATTATTATTACTACTTAATTGTTACGTTGCAATAATAATAATAATAATAATAATAATAATAATAATAAAAACAACATTTTTTAGAGTTCTTCTTAAACATATATGGCACATATATAACTAAGTAACTCGTCCATTATGAGCTGTAATAATTGTGCTGTTATCATTTTGCTGTAGTTGTGTGTTATGGGTGCTGGTGTTGATGCTGGGGAGGTCAACACCAACGTTCTCATCTCCACAGACACGCTGGAAGCACTGAGAGAGCAGTAGCAAGACATTCTGATCTATAGAGAGATGTTTCAGTAGGTCAATGAAATTTCATAAATTATGACTGAGAAAGATCAGCTTAAGCGCATAAATTTGAGATGTGATATATATATATATATATATATATATATATATATATATATATATACATCACATCGCAAATTTATGCATCTTTCTCAGTATATATGTATATATACATGACAGAAGATGTGAGAGACAGAGAGAGAGAGAAAGAGAGAGAGAGAGTTTTATTGCCGGTGCTCATGTGGAGCGCGTCGCCACGTCATGTGTTTGGACAGGAGGCATTCAGAGACTATTATTACTCTAAATACATCCATATAGACACAGTCAGCAATTTACTTACAGCACAGAGACATACTCTCTATCTCTCTCTCTCTCCTCTCTCTCTCTCTCTCTCTCTCTCTCTGTCTGTGTGTGACCTTATTTGCCTTCTTAGACCGTGTGTGTATGTGTCTATATATAGCAAAGATCATCTCTTTGCTCTGCCTTAACATGGTAAATTTCACAAATTTGCTTACGTTTTAATAATAATCTAGAATTAATGCACAATGTTAAAATTTCCCCTGTCGTCAGTTTTACCCTCCATTTTTTTAAAATCCTAAAATGTGCGTTGTGAAGTGACAAGTTTAAATATAAATTTCCAGATTTTCAAAAAGACCTTTGGATCTCTGCATATTCGTTCTTTTATATATATATATATATATATATATATATATATATATATATATATATATATATATATAAAATAGAATATCATAAAATTATATGATCTGCCTCTCTCTCTCTCTCTCTCTCTCTCTCTCTCTCTGGGTGGGCTAATGCCGAATCTAATGTCTGTCTATAACCTCTGGTTCTCTGTTTTATGTTATTATAAATAGCTAATACTCAACACATTTTATTTTTATAAATATATGATGTTTTATTTTTCTCAGCCCTAAATGGACAATATTCTGACAGTTAGTCCAGCCTACTGACAGTCTGAACTGAACCCCAACTCACAGCTCCTTTACAGGCTTAAAGAGCTTTAGGAACACATGGGACCGTTACAACTCAGGGATGACACTTTATTGCCTGAGCTCAAGCTCAACATCTCAAGCTCAACACAGGACTCTCCAAAACTGACCACAGCAGACTTCAGTTTGTCCAGTTTGTCCAGTAAGTTTGAAGTGCAGTGCGGGGCAGCACTCTTCACCAGCTTGCCTCTCCTCCCAGCCGCCTGTATGTCTGTGTATATGTGTGTGTGTATGTGTGTGTGTGTATGTGTGTGTGTGTGTGTTCGGCCCGTGATTTGCCCGCTTAATGCCCTAAAGCTGCAGCTGCCCAGCCGGCCTGCTGGACCGCAAGGGCCAAAACAGACTGCCCTGCGCTCGCGCTGGGTATTAGAACGCTTGCTTAGCCTGCACAAGGCGCGAGAGCAAACAGCTGATTCTGAACTACGACATATATACTGCGCGCGCGTGTGTCCGTGTGTGTGTGTGTGTGTGTTAGTGCGCGCGCGCGTGTGTACAATCTCGGATTAAGGCTGGCAGGACTGCAGTGCGAGCGCTTCGTCTGCTAGCATAACCGCCACGGAGGAGGCGTTGAAGGAGCGAGGAGGAAGAGGTGGAGGAGGAGGAACAGAGGGGAAGTCGGGGGCCTCGAGTGAGCAGAACTGTGGAGAGTGAAGCCAAGGAGAAGAAGAGGAGATGAAAGGAGGAGAAAACGACACGAGCGCGATTTAAAAGTTCGGAGGGGGAAAGAAACTCGCCGGAGAGAGAGCTCCATTAGAAGGAGCGAGAAGAAGAGGAAGAAGTGGTGGAAGAGGAGGATAAGCGGCGAGTTCGGGGACCCTCAGTGAGGACAGCGGTGGAGAGTGTAGAAAAGGGGAAGAAGAGGAGATAAGAGGAGGAGAGAAGGACACGAGCGAGATCTAAACGTTAAAAACTCACCGAAAAGGCTAAAAGCTCCGGTTTCTAGACGCTTCGCTTCGTTGCCGGTGGAGCAGCAGGTTGAGAGAGAGAGAGAAAGAGAGAGACACAGAGAGAGAGAGAGAGAGAGAGAGAGAGAGAGAGAACTCTGAAGCAGTCTAAACTCTCTCCGCGCTGCTGGCAGACTTTGCTGAAGTTTCTTTTTCTTTTTTCTCTTCCGGTATCACCGAAAAGACGGAGCTGTACTCGTTCACCCTCTCTCATCCTCTCTCTCCGTGTGACTCGAAGCCTTTAAGGGAGAGAGCATGGGTGTCTGAGGCTGCTGGCGAGTTTCCCCTGCACAACCATGGTACGTGCTGTGTGTGTGTGTGTGTGTGTGTGTTGACTGACCTCGTGCTGTGTGTGTGTGTGTGTGTGTGTGTGTGTGTTTCAGTATACGGTGTAAAACGGTGCAGAGCTTCAGATGGAAATACAGGCGCGAGCTCACATAACCCCAATATAACAACTGGGTTTGGTGCGCGCGCGCGTATGAGTGTGAGTGTGTTTGAGGGAATCCAAGTGCACTGGGCCTATTTTTATAGACTTATTATTATTATTATTATTATTATTATTATTTAAAAGTAAGTAAAACTACTAATGATTCTTCTTCATCATCTTCTTCCTCATCTGATTGTTACTAATATTAATAGAAATAATATTGATAATAAAGTATTATTAATATTGTATAGTTTTGTCTTAATTTGTATTAATATTTCATTATTTTGGTATATATATATATATATATATATATATATATATATATATATATATATAGGCCTACACCTCACCACAACTGTCTAGAGCTGAACTAATATTAATAACAGGTTATTATTTTTGCCTAAAATAATTTTGAATGTTTCATTATTCATAGTTCATTCTTGTTGTTTTTGTTGCGTTGAACGCCTTCACATTTTTTGATAATAATATTGTATTCATAATATGTATTCTTAATAGTCAATATTGCCGTTTTGCTGTTGACATTATAATGTGGATCTACACCTTTTTCATCTCTATTCCAGAAGCATCTTGATATCATGATATTATGATAAAATATGATATGAAATAAGACAAATTAAAAAATATTATCAGATTTCTCTGCAATGTTGCATCACAGCAGCTCAGGTCCATCATAGACAATGAACTATTAGTGAAATAAAACCCCAAACAGCTCTCATTTACAAACAGGACAGAGTGCAGCAGATTAATTACAAATAGTCCCTTTGTAGTTGATTAACCTGCTTTTATAGAACCGCATGGCCTCTTCACAGCAGCTATCAGTGGACAGATAGACAGAGGGTCATTGACGTCTGAGGATTTACTGTAGATTTACACAGTTTGTACAGATAAGTAGATACAGCATATTCACCTTTATCAGCAAATCATAGTGACTGATGTTTTTTGTAGATGGAAGATATTCAACATGAAGCCCCAGCGTGTCTTCTTACTCCAGTGCCATTTCATTTTACCTATTGAAAAGGAATTAAAAGTGACAGAAGCCTGTTATTCACAGATATAACAATGTCCAAATTCATTCGTTCAGTGTTTCTACGGGTGTTAATAGGGAGTTTACCCACTCTTCTACCCTTCTAGAAAGGCTTTACACTAGATGTTGGAACACTGCTGTGAGGATTTGATTGCATTCAGCCATAAGAGCATTAGTGAGGTCAGGTACTGATGTTGGATGATTAGTTCTGGATCACTCCAGCTCATCCCAAAGTTATTAGGAGCTCCATCATTCCAGAGAACACAGTTCCACTGCTGCACAGCCCAATGCTGGGGGGTTTTATACCCCTCTAGCAGACACTTGGCATTGAAATAGTGACCCATCGATGCTGCTCTATGGCAACTGAATTCACTAGAATGGGTGTCTGAATACTTTTGGTCATGTAGTATAACTTGCACATTACCACTGCATCCTGATAGTGATGAACTTGGCTTTGTTGATATTATCTGGCCTCCAATATCACGTGCCTGTTTAGTAGGTTGGTGTAGTAAATGTGTAATGCATGTGTTATTACATGTAATAACATGTTATTGCTGTATTTCGGTTGCACCATTGGCTTTTCTTATCGATTTTTCTCAAAAGGAATGTATGCCAGCTTAAATTATTTGTCAGCTACTAATATGCAGGGCATTGCGTCGGTTGGAATTAGTATTATGCGGTATTTATTTGCCTTAATCTTTCTGGCATTTCCTTTCAGACCACAGAAGTGTTTTGACTAGCTTTGACATTTGATTTCAATCAGTGTTCTCTTCCAAAGAACTCCAAGGACAGATTGACACTCCCTTTCAGGCAGTAAGTCAGGGTTTCAATCTGAACCTGAACTGGCCTTCAGGCAAGCATTTTTTCATCATGACAAACCTTTTTTTTATAGCAAGCAACATCCCATTCATACGGAGCACACCTGGAAGAAGTGTCCTGAGGAAAATGCAGTGATTGCTCTTTGATATGAAGATGAAGAAGACTCAGCTGAATCAAATTAACATCCCCACTTTTGCATAAACCATAAAGTTCACAGCTTTGCTTGGAACGATTCCCTTCTAAAGGATAAAAGGTCACCAAGTCTGATCTATAGCCCTAGACATACTGTTCCACTGGCTTGGAAAACTGTAATTTGCTGCAGGGAACTTGAAAAGGGATTGGTGAAAAAAAAAATTAACCCACAGAAGTTTTCTTCAGTTCTCTGTAGAAGACAACCCTCGTGGTTTGTTTAGATTGCCTTTATTTCCAGGCCTCAATATTGTATGTGTAAAAAAGTGCCAATAATATTTAAAATTTCCCTTCAAAGGTTTATTTTCTTTTGTCTAAATGAATTAAATCCAAGTACACAGAAAATAAATGGAGCCTCAAATCTCCCTTTTGCTACAAAGGAGGTGATGCAATGTAAATGATCATTGCACCAAATAATGTGATGGTTTATGCGATGCATGAGGCTATATATGAACAAATATACACTATGTTTCTTTTCTTTGCCATAAAACTGTTTCCATTTTCAGTAGAGGACTGACATGGCATCAAGTTCTCATTTATTTAGAGCCAATAAATCAATGTTAAGTCTCTTAAAGAGGATCTTGGTCTCCTGGACCCCAAATAAATCATGAGAATTAACTATACTTTTTCATTTTTTTACCATGTGGTCACTAATCTTTAATAATCCTAAAAAAAATATATATATATAAAGATGTGCCCTAAAATGCTAACATTGCCAATAATGAAGGAAAGTCATGAGGGGCCTGTTGGCATTATTCAAATTTCATGCTAACTTTGTCCTCCCTTTTTTTTTACTCATTGTTAGCCACGCTAGCAGCAGTCGAGCAAAGCATTCGCTTAAAGTCTGCTCCTTTTCTCAGATAAACAGATGACATGTGGCGCGAACTCAGCTTGAATTTCTAGAACATTCTGTGAGTAGCCGAACTGGTGGCTAATTCTCGAACTGCAGTTGATAGGTTGATGGCTTGTCATGGTGCCAGAGTTGTTATGGTAACCGCGGTGTCCTGTGGTGATTGGTGGGTAGCTGCATGAACATGTTTGTGGCTGTAACATCTTCTGGTGTGAGAGAAATTTTGCCTGCTTCTACAACACTAAATAGTATGTCACCACTATTAGTAGTGCACCCAGCAGTATGTGGTTTTGGACGCGGCCTTTGAGTTTTGCTGGGCAGATGTGCAGGCATCTTGCATACTGACCACAGTGACAGCCAGCCAGACAACTTCCTCTTTCATGGTGTGCATGAAGATAAACACACACGTGTCATGTTTACCTGTGGGGACAGGCACACAGAGAGTCAGTCAAACAGTCACTTTTCACAATTAGCACCAGAGAGAAGTACTCAGGACCTTCTAGGCCTTCAGAGAAGGCCTAATGATTTCTGCAAAATAAAATAAAAATACTCAAAGCTGCATCTTTTTGTTAGTAGTGTTACTGAGTCACTCAGAAAAAAACATGCTTAAAACATGGCGTCTGTGCAATGCTGTGAGTCACCCTGTAAAGCCTGAAATAATCATTTCGAAAGTTGGATGTCGGATCAGATTTTGTGGGAGTTTTTCAGGCCACATCATATGTCTTAATGTATTTGTGTCACATATACAGGATGAAAAAGAAGGTCCAGCTCTCTGTTTAGGTCTCAAATGCAAAATCAACATTATACTGATGGAGATATAATAACAATAGTAGATAATTTACTTACATTCTCAGAAAACACGTCCTTCACCAAGTTTTGATTGGGTTCTCTTTGCATACTCTTGCAATGCGCTTGCATCATCAGATTCATCCACTTGAGGAAGGGGTGTAAAGTTAGAAAATGTTCTTATAAACTCTGCAAATATTAAACTACTAGTCTTATTCTATTAGCAATTTTGATTTGACGCAAATGGTTAAAATCTTCAGATGCCAACAGAAAAAAATAAATTTCCCCTAGGTATCTAGGTAGATAGCCTACTCCAATGCTAGTTGTCCAATTGGTTAGGACTGAACTGAAAGCCTGATATTTCAGATTAGCCACCAACATAATTAGGAACTGACAGAGGAATCAACCAATCATGCTTTGATTCCCGATAGATGGAAAAACATCACTCTAGGCCAGAGGTCAGCAACCCAAATGTTAAGAACCATTTTGTCCTTTCAACAACAGCCAAATCACCTTAGGAGCCACAACATTTTATATCAATTTTACCATCTTGGCTGTAAATATGTCTCAGTGTGTGCTGATGTGCTAATATAGGCTAAAAATATAATAGTAATGAAAACACAGACCGACTTTGATCTACTTTAAAGTTTAGCACAACTATAGCTGCTTTTCTCGCATCTCTGACAGGAAACTTTCTCGCAAAAGTGGAATAGTTTCTTGAAAAATGTCTCAATGTTCGACTTTTTACGAGGCTGAAGTCAGCTTCTCATTCGTCAGCTTCTTGTCCTAATTTTTCCGTTCCACCTTAAAAGGTGCCTTGATGCCAGAATGTAACTGCTACACCATTTAAGGTGGAACGGGAACATTCGAACAAGAAGCTGGCGAATGAGAAGCTGACTTCAGCTTTGTGACTTTTTAGAGTTTGTCAGTTTCTCGTTGCAGATTAAACGTATCAGGAAACCAGCTGGAGTGATTATGAATGCAAATAATTTCATTTGTCTCCAAATTATCAATGTTCGTCTTAAATCATTCTCTTTGTCTTTTAGTTTGCTATTAGCTAGGAGAGACTGTTGTCTGTATTGCTATGGTGATGAGTAGTCTGCGCAACCAACCTAAATAAGCAGTAATAGGCTACATTGACTCCAGCATTTAAGACCATTTATTGTTAAAACTGTGTTAGAAT